AGAGAGAGAGAGAGAGCAGAGCAGAGGGAAGGGAGGCTCCGTGTATTAGGTGACAGATGAGAGGGTCCTTTCAAGGGAGGAAAGATAAGGGAAGAGAAAGATAGGAAGGCAAGAAAACAAGACGGTCATCCGCTTTGGTAACACACCAAACATGTGTTGTTCGGTTTGTTTAAAGCGTATAGCACGCGATCAAAGCACATTGTTTTCAACAGCATATTTCCTCGGTGTTTCGAAACACCGATGCTAAGTTTATACGTTGAATGGACTCTGGCAGAGGCAACAAACTTCCTTTGTCATACTGCATAGGCAACCCACAGTAGATGAGAATTGCCGCCGGTCGTGCGCTTGCTGATGACTGCACTCTTTGCCTCTCGCGAAGCGTTGGCAATGCGTGCACCGAACCTATAGTTTTGGGCCCATACTTGTACCTGTGACCCACTGTCATTCTCATTGTATTGGCCATTGCTTGTTGAGATGGCAACTCAGTTGATCCAAATCCAGTAACGTCTGTACCTTATTCTTCAGGGAGAAGTAGAGCACACGGCAGTGTAATTTTTTGCACCATGTAAGCTTGAGTTGCTGCTGCTTGTAATGGAATTAAAATGATATATGGTTGCTTTAGTGCTGCCTAATGGAAAATTTTGGACCGCCAAGCAATGTCAAGAGAGAAGGAAGTGCAAGACATGGCAACAGAGGCTTTCGTGATACTCCGTTTATGTCTGCTTCATCACATTGCAGAAGGAAAAGAGTTGTCACTGCTTCGTCATCTCTGAGTTCGGATTCGTCGCTGAGTAGATGGCAAACAACAAGTCGATCTGCAACGTCAGTTGCCATTCGCAGGTGGCAACCGCATGCCTGTTCATCATAAGCTCGCAATCTTAAAATTCGACCAGTTGCGTGACTTGTCATTCTATAGATCCTCCTCTCGTGCTGTGAACCACTGAACCAAACTAATGGCACCTCCTGCCTCACCAATCGTTGTTTTAAATCCTGTGCTGAAGACCTAATAAGCGCTTAGAATTTGCCAAGAATAAGCAGAGCGGAAATTGTCACAAGTTTAGCTGTACGGTCTGAAGACGTCAACTATTTTCTTGAATTCAAATGCATGTGCCGAAAACATCGTTGAACTTAAGGATGCATTTAGACAATGCATCGGAGATTCATAAGCTATTTGCAGATCGAATAACTTAATCAAACCCATTGACACCGATGCACATCCCGCGGGACGACGACGATGACGAGTGATATAACGAAATCGATGTATGTACTGCGACTTCGTTCGCTGAATCGAAGGAAATGGCAGGCGCGAAGGAGGGACCATCAAACGTTGCTTACGATCTATGACTTTTACTTTCGTGCCGTTGATAAGTCGAAGTCGCAAGCTGACCACTTCTAACAGCAATGTAATCTGGATGTAAATACATGATTGACAGGAACTAAATTGCACAAGTGTAAGGGTTTTCACCCACCTCTTCCTCGTACGAGAGAGGGGTTTCTGGTGAAACAGAGAGGAGAGGAGGGAAGGAAAAGAAGAAGAAAAGAAGAAAGGGAGAAGGCTTCGGCTGTGAGAACGGAGGAGAAGAAAGAGAAGAAGAAAATTAAAGAAAAATTATAAAAAATATATTGAGGACTCGATTTGGTATCAAATGAATTGAGATCAATTTCATGAAAATTATATTAGGTATGATTTTAATTTTTATTAATTAGATTTATGTTTTGAATTATAGATTGTTGAATCCTGATATGGCTAGTTAATTGGGTATTTATGTTGTGAAGGAAATAAAAGGAGGAAAACTATTATATTGAAAAGCAAGAAAAGAAAATTGTAAGATTAGAATATATTTGTATCGATTATAGTAAATACCTGATGGCTTCGTCTAGTTTGTTTATCAAAGTATTAATACATGTGTTTGAAATTTGTATGTGCATATGATGTACATGAATGAAAAGTCATTTTACTATATATTTAAAAAGAATGCAAAACATATTTATATGTTGATGATTTGGAAAATCATATGATTTTAATAGTTATGTATTTGTTATGTTATAAGTATTTATTAATTTATGTTATCTAATTCACATGAACATATTTGTTCAACATTATATGTGAAAAGGATTGAAAATTATGTGAATATTATTAGTTTCAAATGGTATATGATTATTAGTTAAACATTATTCTGAGTCTTGTCACAGGAATATAACATAATTTTAACCATTGTACTACTATAATTTATGTTTATACATGTATAATTTAGTTTTATTTTGAACCCTTAGCTATGCTTATGTCTATAATATTTTATGCTTTGATATGTGATATTAATTATGTTAGGATCGGAGCGGCATTAAGACAGGGGGTAAATTAGTGCAGCGGATTAAAACTTGTAAATTTGAAAACGATTTCGTAAATGCGTAAAGATTTCAATTCGTCGATGACATGGAGAAAATAGCTCGAGTAAAGTGAGAAGATGAAAACCGAAAACTTGCTGCAACTTAAATAATAGTTTCAGAAAAGTAAATACTCACACATTCAATGAACACATCAATTTAAAGTGGTTCGGTCAAAATGACCTACATCCACTTGCGAAGCCTTCTACAATAAGGCTCCCAACTTCCACTAGCAAATCACTTTGAAGGGGAAGGACAAATACCCCTCTTACAACCTTTTTACAAGTGGTTCACACTCTTACAAATTTTTCAAAGAGAAAGAGGGAGGTGAACACTTAAGCTATTGAAAACAAGACTTTTGCTAAAGCTTTTCTCAATTTCTAACTTCCCAACGGTTATAATCTCAGTTGAGAATTGAGGGGTATTTATAGGCCTCAAAAGAATTCAAATTTGGGCTCCAAATTTTGAATTCTCTTGGGTTTTCGAGGCTGGCGGTGCCACCGCCTATCGGTGTCTGACACTGACAGTGTACTGGCGGTGCCACCGCCGGACCTCTCGGGTGCTGGGCGGTGCCACCGCTCGGTTCTCAGGTTCTGGGCGGTGCCACTGCCTACACTATTTCAGCTCACTGGTTGGGCTCTAAACTTGGCCCAAACCAGTCCAAACTCGAGCCCAATTGACCCCTACTTGGGTTATAGGATTAACACCTAATCCTAACCCTAATTAACATGCTAAATATGAATTTAAAGACATTTCCTAAGCTATTACAAAGTCCGCAAGTCAAGACTTCTTCCGGCGAACTTCCGGCGGTCTTCCGATAAACTCTCGGAAACCATTATGCGGACTCCCAACAAGCTCCTAGACTTCACGATTTGATCTTGGCGAGTTCCAACGAGCTTCTTCGGCAATCTCTGATCTTTCTCGGCGAGCTCCACGAACTTCCAACGAACCTTCCGGCGAGCTTCCGAAAAACCCTTCGGCAAGCTCCCTACTCATTCTCGGCTAGTTCCGGCAGCATTCCCGACGAACCTTCGGACTTCCGTCGAACTCTCGAACTCGCAACGAATCCTTCGCGCTTGACTCCGACACATTGTTTCGCTTTATGTCTTCGTCGTTATCGTAGTTAATCCTACACACACAAGCCAAAACTCTACTTCGATCTAGACAATTATTACAACGCGAATTGACATTCTGTTGCCCGACACGTCATTGGTTAGCGCTTCGTCCGATTCTTTAGCGCATCGTCCTCTCTTGCGACTTATTGCCCAATCGGCGGTTGACCTCCACAACCCCGATATCCTTGGCGCAATTCCGCTCTCCTTGGCCAGATGCCCAACGTCCGAAGCCTTCTGCCGCTCAATATCTTGATGTGATCTCCTTCGGCACAACGTCAATTCCTCCTACGTCAACTGTCTAATCTTGATCGAGTAGACCTGCATCACTCAAAATGTAGTTAAACATCTAAACACAATCAATTAGTTTCATCATCAAAATCCGAGATTCAACAAATTATGCGTATGCTTTAATTATAAAAATATATTTAAATTTATCTTAATTTAAAAGGTATCATAAGAATTTTATGTTATTTGAAATGCTTGTATCTTATTCTGAAAAATATTCAATCATTTTATGCTTACAAGGCATGATTTTAAAATATATGTAAAATTTAATCTTTTCTAAATTATATGAGTATAAAGAAAAAAATTGATATCTATGTATATTTTAAAATGCACAATGAATATATATATATATATATATATATATA